CCAATACAAGTGTTCAAGTTAACTCCAATATGTTGTAATAATAATGCCTTTTTTATATTCTTATATGTGTGCATTTTTAAAGTGACACCTGTTATTTAATCAAATCAAACGTAAAATTCTAAATAAATAAGGGATTCATTTGTTGCTCTTTAATCAGAATATGTACGTTATACAGGGAAGAAACGGCTAATAAAATTTAATAGCTTGATTCTATTTCATTAAAACAGCTATTAATTTTAATAAGCTGAACTGTTTGCTCATGTATTTGCTGCTAATGTATATATTTGTTTTTTTATTTGTACATAATATTAAACATATTACTAACCATTTAACTGTTTATTTACAATGAAACAGCTCTAGATGGGCATATTTAGAAATTTAGGGATTTTTTTAAAAGGAGGAGGGGAGTGGGTCCCTAATGTTGGGCATATCTTTAATTTTCACATCCCGATGTTGACAGGTATGCATTTGATGAAGATCAAACCAAAACAGAACCAAACTCGAACGAGATAACGTTAGTCGACAGCAAAATTAAACAAATCACACTCGCGAATGTTATAAAAGTGAGATATAATACACTTATAATACACAGATTCTCAATCAATCTCTACACTGAGTGCAGAAGAAACAAATATTGTCTTATTTTCATTAAAAATACCTCCAGTCAGTAAATGAGGTGTTTAAATGAGAAGGTTATCATCTTAAATGTGTTCACACAATCATTATTTTAAGGTCTGAAATCAAAATAAAGCTGTTTTAGCGGACAAAAGCCAGTCAAAAACTGAACACAACCTAAAGTGAGAAACATTATTATTGAATATAAGAGTACATTATCTGACAGATATTATATCTGTGCTAAACATATTTCAGAAACAACCAGTAAATTACACTAGAAACACAAATGAATGGAAGCCAAGTTACACAGATAGCATTAGCAACTGTAAATAAAGGTAAGATGTTTTCCTAATTCCTGAAGAGATATTCGGCAGCAAAGTGAAACATATCACACTCGTGAACGCTACAGAAGGCAGATATAATACACTTACTTTGAAAAGACGCACAACACCCGTAACAGAAGAATAATTATACAGCAAACGGCAAAGTTTAGCATTTATCAGCGATCCGACTCATACTCCATCCACTTCATACACTGAGCGCCGAGGCGGGATATTAGCGTGTGGCTCAGCGGAAGCTGATTTGCTGCTGTTTGTGGTTCGGCGAATGCTGATTGGCTGCTGTTTGTTGCTTAGAGAATAGTGAGGTTGTGTGGTCTGAAAGTGGCTTATAATGAATGTTTCTGGTTTAATAGTGAAGGTTTATCATGTTTAATGGTAGGTCTGTTCACTGTATGAAGCATGTTTGGTGTGAACCCAGCATTATAATAAAGTCCATGCTGCTTTATAACATGATGAATAGACCTGATGCAGTTTTGTTTTGTGACTCAGATCAAAATATTCTGTTTTCCTCAGTTCTGCTTCTGGAGAATGCGACAAAGTTTTGGAGAACAGTAAAGACTCGTGTGTCTGATGATATTTGTCTTTTGTTATTTTCTTTGATGGGACTAATGTGGGTTTCTTAACCCAATAAAAAAAGAATTATCTCAAAGTAGCCCACATAAAATAATAATGTTGCATAGACTTGTATTTGTATCTATGAGAGATATATCACTGTACGTTTCTGGTAGTGATCATTCTCTCGACCATATAATTTATATATATAGTTTTACACTATACATTTTCTATATACAAAGTTAAAGACAATAGCTAAATTTAATATTTTTTCTGACTCAAATTTTATTAATTAATGAATCTCTTAAACATTAATAACATCAAGATTAATACATTTCCTAAAGCTTACAATGATCTTCTTCTTAATGATCTGTAGAGTAGAGAAGGCTTCGTAGGCTTCTTCTTTTTCCCTCCTAATTAAATGTGTGCAGAACATTCACATCAAAAGCATTTCCTGACCTGATATTTAGTTTTTAATTGTTTAATAGGGAAAGCTGTCCACAAACTGAACATCAGAATATACATCAATTATCTTATTACTATTAGAAGTAAACAATAATAATTTCTCTTGAGGAGGAAACAAGGCGGGGGCTCAAATCTGAAGAAACTTAGCACAGAGTAATGTAAATGTTCAGATCACTGTGAGCCTATGACAATTATTATTTATATTGTGGACTTAAATGAAACTGTAAATAAAGACAAACACAGAAGCTCATGTTCTGGGTCTCTTCATTCACACAGACACACTGATGACCCACTAGAGGCCGGTCTTTGTCAAGAGTGAGAACGGCATCAATATTCATGATAAAGCCCTCACGAGCTGCGTCCCAAATCGCATACTTATGCACAATTCTACGCCATTTTGTAGTATAAACAGTGTAAGTAGTGTGTTCACACTGAAAACTCTTAAAATAATAAGTGCACTTTAATTACCCGGATGATGCACTCATTCAGTCGCTAAAATGAAGTGTGTAATGATGGACACTTCACGCACTCAACGACCGCAGGTTTGCTTACGTAGCGGAAGGGGCGGAGCTATCGGACGCACATGTCGAATAACTTTATTTATTTTGGATGGAGAGAGCAAAATTCTCCTACTAGAGTGATTATATTGCCTCCCGATGGTGAATGCGGCAATACTCACGATAGGTATTATTTGATAATTCGGTCATTTATTTCACTGATTTGGCAACTGTCAAACGTCATCAGGGAAACGGTTTGAATTTCCGTTTAGTAAAAAAACATTAGTGCGTCATTTGGGACGACACTACATACATATACTATCCTGTTGAGTGTGTAAGTGCATAAGTACATAGTGTATAGTGTGCCATTTGGGACACAGCTACTTTCTGTGCCTTACTTGTAAATCAATATATTGTTTACAGTGAACGAGTAAACAAAGGCATTTTGTAATGTAATGTAATGTAACTAGTCAACTAGTCAGCAAAATCTGTGTTTATACAGTATAGTGGCCTGAAAAAGTGTTTCCCCCTCACTGAATTATTGTTATGTTTTTTTGCCTTTTGTCATATTTTAAAGTTTCAGATCATGTAATTAATGTAAATATGAGTCAAAGATAACACAAGTAAACACATCACGCAGATTTTAAATGAAGGCTTTTATTATCAAAGCAAAACAAAATCCAAAACTACATAGCCCTGTGTGAAAAAGTGTCTGCCAGAAAACATCTTGATGATCCCCAAGATTTTTTTGAAATACTCTGTAGATTGACGAGATTTTGGAAGGTGGAAGATTTGCAATAAATGAAACCACGAATTCCGCTGTGCACCAAAATATCCTGAAGGAGAATGTCCGGCCATCTTTAAGTGACCTCAAGCTGAAGCAAACACGAGTTCTGCAGCAGAACAACGATCCAAAGCACAACCAGCAAGTCCACTTCTGAATGGCTGAAGAAAGACAAAATGAAGAATTTGGAGTGGCCTAGTCAAAGCCCCGACCTGAATCCAATTGAGATGTTAAAATGGCAAATATCTCGCAGGCATCGGCGACTCACTCAGATCGTGTCTTTGATAGTTCACACTGTGTGATTGTCACTTATGTGCACTAGCGCCGATTTGTCTGTGATTTCACTTATTTGTCTGCGATTTCTCAAAATCAGTCAAAATCAGTGCTAAAATTATCCAGTCTGAACTCGGCATAAGAGAAGACTAATATTGCAGCTCATAACAGACTGTTATTGCTATTAAGATGACGAATGCAAATAATACGTTACATGTCAATATCATCTGTTCAATATCAGACACCACCTGTGAGAACAGCACAGTTATATTCATTAACCCAGCTCATGTCATTCATGTAATGCAGTGTGTACAGGGCAGATGGGCACATGCAGATTCTTTTGGTTGTTAGTTTTGATTAGTGTTGATTTTAAATGTAATAAATCTATTAATATAAAAGCTTAACTAGTAATGCCGCTCAGAATATTTGATGGTTGCGCCTAAATTGTGGCTGGTGCTCCTACAAGTTTTGAAGCCAGAAGCACCAGTGCTGCCAAGCAAAAAGGTTCATTTCGAGCCCTGCTTTTAGGGTTTCTCTCCAGTGTGGATCTTCTCATGTCTTTTCAGAGATCCTAACTGTCTGAATCTCTTGTCGCAGTGTGAACACGTGTACGGTTTCTCTCCAGTGTGAATCCTTTGGTGCCGTTCCAAATCACCAGTTGTAACAAAAGTCTTCCCACACTCAAAGCAGTAATGCTCTCGCACACCAGTGTGGATCTTCTGATGTCGATTTAAATTTGTCCGCCATGTGAAACTCCTTCCACACACAGAACACGAATACGGTTTCTCCGTTGTATGAACTCTGAGATGAAGCTTAAGAAATGAACCAGTCGCGAACGTTTTGCCGCATTGATCACATTTGTGTGGTCTCTCTCCAGTGTGGATCAACATGTGTTGATTAAGGAACGAGGAGATTGTAAAACTCTTTCCACACTGAGTACATGTGTGTGGCTTCTCTCCAGTGTGGATCTTCATGTGTAGATTAAGGGATGATGACTGAGTGAAACTCTTACCACACTGGGTACATGTGAATGGTCTCTCTCCAGTGTGGGTCAACATGTGTTGATTAAGGGATGATGATTGTGAAAAACTCTTCCCACACTGGGTACATGATAATGGTTTCTCTCCAGTGTGGATCATCATGTGTTGATAAAGGTTTGACGACTGTGTGAAACTCTTACCACACTGAGTACATGTGAAAGGTTTCTCTCCAGTGTGGATCAACATGTGCTTATTAAGGGACGACGATTGTCTGAAACTCTTACCACACTGGGTACATGGGAACGGTTTCTCTCCAGTGTGGATCAACATGTGTTTAGTAAGGTGTGATGATTGTCTGAAACTCTTACCACACTGGGTACATGTGAATGGTCTCTCTCCAGTGTGCATCAACATGTGTTTATTATGGGATGACAAATGTGAGAAGCTCTTACTGTAACAGCCCGGTTGGAGAAATAAAAGGATTAAACTCATGCACTGATGTTGCACTGTCCTCCTTTGTGCCTTTATTGTTGCATTTGCCGTCCTTAAAGACTGTACAACACCGTAAGAGCTAAGAACAGATGAATAAACACAAATAGAAAAAATGTAATGAATAATAGTTCACATAATAAGACAAAACAATAAACTTAGTGACAATATTATAAAGTATCTTCAAATATATGACTAATTTTACAATAAAATAGCAATTTAAATTATTAGCAAGCCAACAGATGCATCAAATTTTAGCAATATGTATAAAAATGTCCTCATCTACCTTGTTCTCCCTTCCAACCAGGTGTTCAAACAATAAAGATGAACAGAACAAAAAACAAAACTCAAATATGCATTAAATCTCTATTAAATCAGTCCTTAAATGTAACATTAGCTCCGTGCATTTCTCTGTGCAAGCGATCGCTCTCTCCCTCGTGCTAGGCGCGCTTCTCCAATCTCCCTGCTTCCGTGATCTGCGCGCTCTCGCGCACCTGACCACTTCCGGCAAGCCGCGCGTCAAAATAAGGGTCTCTATAGGCTAAATAACTTAGTGCAAAGCGGAGTTCAAATAAATAACAAAAACACAACAACTTTTAAAGAAATAGAGAAGTAATTAAAAGCAGCATAAATAATTAACACTGAAACCTAACTTAAATAACTTGGGGTTATTTACACTCCCACCAATCATGAGTGATTATGAATTTTAACCTTTTAATCACGAATGATTTTAAATGAATTATAATTACTACTACTATAACCATTTAAGACTAGATGTAAACAACACTAAAACATATATTACTATGAACTGTTTACTCAAAGGATATGTCAGTATGTTCAGGCTGCCTCCATCAGCAGGACCAACTTCTGTACTGGACGTTCCACCACAGATGGTTTATGTAGACGTTTACCATCCTTCCCCAGATTTCTGTCTCCGAACTGTATTTTCACTCTTCTCACCAATCCGTCCTTGTCAGTGACTGCCTCAATAATCCTTGCCAAGCGCCACTCATTCCTAGGCAGATCCACTGCCTTCTCCAAGACAATATCTCCTACTTGCATGTTCCTTCTTGGTGTATGCCAGCACTGTCTTGTTGTGATGTTAGACACATACTCCTTATGCCAACGTCCCCAGAATTGTTCCGCTAAGTATTGGACATGCCGCCATCTCTTACGGGCATACACATCTTCCCTGACAAATTTGCCAGGAGGTGGTAGGGCTTGAGTAGGTTTTAGAGTGAGGAGGTGATTAGGGGTTAGAGGTTCAGGGCTACTTGGGTCAGTTAGACTATCAACCGTGAGCGGACGACTGTTTACAATGGACATGGCCTCGTAAAAGAACGCTCGCAGAGAAGAGTCATCGAGCCTTCCAGATGACTGTGACAGGGTGGAGCGAAGAACACTTCTGACAGTTCTAATCTGTCTTTCCCAAACTCCGCCAGTGTGGCTTGAATGAGGTGCATTAAAAACAAAGTCACACTGTTTTTCCGCTAAGAATGTTACCAGACGGTTGGTGTCAATCTCCTCCATAGCTTTGGTGAGCTCATTCCTGGCTCCAATGAAATTACTGCCTTGATCACACCTTATTTGATGGACTGCTCCTCTGATAGCGATGAAACAACGCAGGCCATTGATAAAGGCATCTGTGGACATGTCATCCAGCATCTCAATATGGATGGCTCTGCAACAGAAACAGGTAAAGAGAAGTCCATACCTCTTGTTTGACTTGCGACCTTTGCTGGTGATGAATGGACCGAAAACATCCATCCCGCTGTATGTGAATGGAGGGGATGGCTCTATGCGCTCTGAGGGTAAGTTAGCCATTTTTTGCTCTTCCGTAGGTCCACGTAACTTGCGACATCTCACACATTGTCGTACAAAGGAAGCTACAGTCCTGTTAACTCCCGTAATCCAGAATCCTCTTGATCTGATTTCATTTATAGTCATTCCCTTTCCTTGATGAGCCATCTTATCATGACAATCAGCAATCAGGAGTTTTGTAAGTTGGTGCTCCTTCGGAAGTATCACTGGATACTTGACAGCATTAGGGATAGATGCCTCACAAAGTCTCCCTCCCACCTTCAGCAATCCATCTTGGTCGACAAAGGTGTCAAGATTGTATAGTCTGTTGCTGCGAGGTAGTTGTTTGCCCTTACAGAGTAAAGTTATCTCCTCTGCATATGTCTGCTTCTGTAAGTCCTTGATTATGATACATAGTGCATCGTTCCGTTCCGCCAATGTACTGTGATTATGTGACTTGTCTTTCCTGACACGACGTATTAAACGTGCAACAGCTTGGATAGCTTTGGACCATGAGGACAACTTGGTGAGACGGTCTGACAAACATGAATACTGTACAGTTTGCGTGTTGAGTGACTGAACCTTCTTGACTTCAGGGTCGCCAATTGGAAGCTGCTTGCTGATTTCCATAGGTGCAGGTATTTGCTTTTCCCATAAAACTTTAGGTCCTCTAAACCAGTTGGAAGTGACAAGATTGTTAACACTTAGACCACGCGATACGTAATCGGCTGGATTTTCATCTGAGCAAATGTACCGCCACTGTTGAGGAGTTGTGGTGCGGTGAATCCTTTGTACTCTATTTGCCACAAACGTGTGGAAACGGCGAGCTTCGTTGTTTATGTAACCTAACACCACTTGTGAGTCAGTCCAGAAGAACGCTTCTGCATCTGCCAGGTTCATTTCCTCCTTCAACATGTCATTCACTGCAACTGACACCACTGCGGCAGCCAATTCTAGCCGAGGAATTGTTGTGATCTTGAGTGGGGCCACTCTAGATTTTGCCATGAGCAACGAACAACTGATGTCACCTTGCTCGTTCTCGAGTCTGAGATATGAACACTGACCATATCCACTCATGCTGGCGTCTGAGAAGTGGTGAATCTCTCTCCTTATGATTCTCCCAAAGCCAGAAGGCATAATACAACGAGGCACTTCAATCTTTTCTAGGTTAACTAGATCTGCCTTCCAGTGTTCCCATGCTGATTGTAGATCAGCGGGTAAGTTATCATCCCAACCCATACCACTTCGGCACATTTCTTGCAGAATGGTCTTTCCTTTGAGTACAAAGGGGGCAAGAAAGCCTAAGGGATCAAACAATGAGGCCACTATAGACAGTATCCCTCTACGAGTTGCTGGTTGGTCCTTAACAGTGATATGGAATTTGAAATTGTCTTGTTCCAGACTCCAGTAAATGCCCAAAGCTCTTTCCAAAGGCTGATCAGTGAGAGCAAGATCGACAGCTGTAACATCTACCGCACACTCTGAGGGTGGTATTGTCTTCAAGACTTCCTTGTCATTAGACACAAACTTGTGAAGACTTAAGCTTCCCAGTGCACAAAGCTGACGAGCTTCTTCAGCCAATTTGATGGCCTTCTCTGTGCTTTCAATGCTGGAAACTCCATCATCCATGTAGAAATCTTGCATAATAAATTGCGAGCCCAGAGGATACAGACGTTCACCTTCTCTTGCAAGATGCTTCAGCCCATAGTTAGCGCATCCAGGGGACGATGAGGCTCCAAACAAATGCACTGTCATGCGGAAGGTTTGAGGCTGTGAATTGAAATCTCCATTTCTCCACCATAGAAATCGTAAATAATCACGATCTGCATGGTCTACATGAAATTGGTGGAACATTTTTTCCACGTCACACATTAGGGCTACAGGGTACTGTCTGAACCTCAAAAGGATGCCAGTTAAGCTGTTCATCAGATCTGGGCCAGTTAGAAGATGGTCGTTCAAGCTAGTTCCCTTGTATCTGGCTGAACAGTCAAAAACTATACGCAATTTCCCTGGCTTTTTCGAGTGGTACACTCCGTGATGTGGTATGTACCATCTTTCTCCTTCTCGTCCTTCCTCAAACACCTGTTCTGCATTACCCTTCTCTATTACTTCCTCCATGAATGTTACATAATGCTCTCTGTACTCCTGATCTCTCATTAATCTCCTCTTCAAATGTTGAAGTCTTATGACAGCTAGAGGTTTGTTATCTGGAAGATATGGTCTTTTCCTGAATGGCAGGGGCATTTCCAGATGACTATCCTTGTTCAATCTGATATTCTCTTCCAGCTTTCTCAGAAACATGATGTCCTCCTGAGAAGTCACTTTAGTGTGCCCTTCTGTATCCTTGAAATCAGATTCCAGCACTTTTATCACATCCGTGGGAGTTACTGCAGGTATTTCCTTGATAGACACTCTATGACACATGGCAGCACTGCTTTGGGGCTCAAAATGTGTTAAGGAAGGACCTATAATGCTCCATCCGAGGTCCGTGCGAACAGCATATGGTTCATTCTCCGTTCCAAGAATTACTTCTCGGGGCGCTAGCGCTCTGGAACAATTGTATCCTATCAATAGTCCAACCTCACAATTTTGAAGTGGGGGAATTTTGTCTGCTAGAGTGGCTAGATGTTTCCAATGACTTGCAGTCTCCATTATAGGGATGTGTGCGCGATCCACAGGAATGCATTCTTTGGTGTATGCAGGGGGTAGATCTATAATCAGTGAGGAATTGAAACCTCTAACTCGAAGACCAGAAATCCTTTCACTTGACATCAAGGAGTCCTTTCCAACCAAAGTAGTGAGTTTAAGCGTCACGGGACAGGAGTCGACTTTAAGACTTTTGCATACTGCACATTCAATAAAGACTGAATCGCTTTGTGTGTCTAACAGAGCATAGATGAGCTTCTCAGAAACTGGGTCTTTATGTGTGGACAACCACACTGGCACAATCATCGAGGTGTTAACAGGCGTGCATCCAGATTCTACACTCAATGACATTGTCGCAACTCCTTCATGGACATTTTCTGGGCTCTGAGCAGAAGAAGACCTCACCTTTCTATTGAAGCTGTCATCATGTAGGCAGGTAGGGTGTCTTCCCTTACAGGTGTTGCAGCAATGTCGGGAGCGGCAGTCCTTGGCACTGTGACCCAGCCTCAAACATCCATAGCACAATCTTGTATTCTTTACGAACTGTCTACGTTCTTCAAGAGACCTTGCAGAGAATTTAGAACATTCATGAATTTGATGTTCACCATTTTGACAGAACAGACATGGCTTATTGACCTTTCCAGTGGGCTTTGAATTATCATGCTGTGTGACAGTCTTTGTATGGAAGACATTAGCTTTAGGTTTACTGACCTTGAAATAATTTTTCTCTTTGTTAGGTTCTAAAACATGAAGGGCATGAAAGGATGTGACTGGATTACAGGCAACTTCAGCTTCAACAGACATGAAATGGGCGAATTCTTGAAAAGTTGGAAAATCTTGAGTTTCACTCAACGTTTGTGTGGTTTGACGATTCCAGCGGGCAGCCGCCCAATCAGGGAGTTTGCTTACAAGCTTCCTATTCTCTTCGCAATCATTCAATATTTCCAGTCCCTTTACATGTGGCATTGCATCCTTACATGAGTTCAAGAAATCAGAGAAATTTCGAAGTCCTACCGAGTCCTTGGATTGAATTTTGGGCCAGCATGCAAGTTTCTCTCTGAATGCTCGTTGTATGATGAATGGCTGTCCGTAGCGATCTAGAAGCCTCTTCCACGCGTCCTTGTAAGCCTCCTCATCATTTCTGTAAAAGATACCATCTAGCACTTTCAGAGCAGGCCCAGTAACGTACTTCTTCAGGTAGTATAACTTGTCTCCTGAAGAGATATGTCTTTTATCAATGAGTGATTGAAATGAAGCCTTCCACTCTATGAAGTGAATGGGGTCACCACTGAAAACTGTGGGCTCTGGCATAGGAAGTCTGTTTAGTGTTATGCTATCTTGGACAGCCTGCGCTAATTGAGACACATCAGCGTTGGGTCTCTGTAATGAAATGTTAGGCGTTGGATTAACGGAGGATAAGTATACTGGTTTATGCGTGGGAGGGCTTACAGGTTGCTGCAGCCCTTCATCTTGATTAACAGTGTCAACAGTTTCTTCCTTGTCATACACCTCCAGTCTTGCTCTAGCTGCTCTTACCTCCTTCATCGCTTGGAGCCTTTCAAACTCGCCTTTTTGAGCCTCAAGTTCTTTTCTTTGCTTCTCTTCTAGAAGTCGTAATTTTTCTCTTTGCTCCCTTTCTTCTATTACAGTAGCATATTCTGCTTCCTTAGCTGCTAGCTCTGCTGCTGCTTCTATGCGTTTAGCCATTAGTATAGAATTCAGAGAAGGTTGACTTATAGGTGTACTGGATTTGGAGCTGATGCGTGAAACAGTAGAACCATAAACAGAGCGAGCGTAGTCTCGTTCAAGCAGCTCACGTAAATGCCCCTTTACGGTTTCATTGTCAAAGCCTCCATCTACCCCTGAGATCCTCTCATATGCAATTTTTACTATATCCTTAGTAACAGCATCACAAGCATCAATTTTCCTTCTCATATCAGTGGGTGGAGTTACATTACTTCTAACCTTTATGTATGCATTCATCACACTGTCCTTTTCCTTTTCCAATGAGTCTATGAGTGTTGCTAATTCACTCTCAGAAATGTCTAATTTCAACTGACTTCTTGCTTTCCGAGCCTCAGCCTTCCATTTTTCATATGCATGCATAAGCTTTCTTTCTGCTTTATGAGACTCCTCCCTTTGATATGCAAGCATCCTGTCTGTCTGAGTTCGTTCACGGGTAGAGCGACGTACATTTGTGTCTAATTCTTCAGATTGAGCTTCTACTTCTTCATCAACTTCTTTGTTTTGAACATTATCAATTTGTTCGTTTACTTTTGCAGGAGTGCACAAATTGGAACCGTGATCCGTCATCATTTACATCAGCAAATAATGTCAGTGGGTGCAAGCTCTTACTGTAACAGCCCGGTTGGAGAAATAAAAGGATTAAACTCATGCACTGATGTTGCACTGTCCTCCTTTGTGCCTTTATTGTTGCATTTGCCGTCCTTAAAGACTGTACAACACCGTAAGAGCTAAGAACAGATGAATAAACACAAATAGAAAAAATGTAATGAATAATAGTTCACATAATAAGACAAAACAATAAACTTAGTGACAATATTATAAAGTATCTTCAAATATATGACTAATTTTACAATAAAATAGCAATTTAAATTATTAGCAAGCCAACAGATGCATCAAATTTTAGCAATATGTATAAAAATGTCCTCATCTACCTTGTTCTCCCTTCCAACCAGGTGTTCAAACAATAAAGATGAACAGAACAAAAAACAAAACTCAAATATGCATTAAATCTCTATTAAATCAGTCCTTAAATGTAACATTAGCTCCGTGCATTTCTCTGTGCAAGCGATCGCTCTCTCCCTCGTGCTAGGCGCGCTTCTCCAATCTCCCTGCTTCCGTGATCTGCGCGCTCTCGCGCACCTGACCACTTCCGGCAAGCCGCGCGTCAAAATAAGGGTCTCTATAGGCTAAATAACTTAGTGCAAAGCGGAGTTCAAATAAATAACAAAAACACAACAACTTTTAAAGAAATAGAGAAGTAATTAAAAGCAGCATAAATAATTAACACTGAAACCTAACTTAAATAACTTGGGGTTATTTACACTTACCACACTGGGTGCATGTGAATGGTTTCTCTCCAGTGCGGACCATCTTGTGAATCTTACGGCCGCTTTGCATCTCAATCAATCTCTTTCCACACGGAGTTAGGTGAAAAAATCTGGTCTCTTCTTTTCATTAAAAAAAGGATGTACTCGTGTATTTCCAGCTTTTAGTAGTTTATCATCGTCACGCAATATCGTTCTTCTGAAATCAAAGAAAATAAAGTTGTTTTAGCAGACAGAAGACATTCAAATATGAGCAAAACGTGAAGTGGAAACATCAGATATATTTGTCAGCATATTTCTGAAACAACCACAGTTAGCAAACACTAGAAATACAAGAGAATTAAGACACAGATAACATTAGCAACTGAATAAAGGTAAAATATTTATGAGGAAGCCGAAGACGATATGCAAGCGAATGAAATTGTTTTGAATGTGTGCGGCAGTGCGCAATTTTTCTGCTCTCACAATTGCATGTCATGATCACGTGCGCTCTATGTACACTATAATTAATGCCAGGATGAACAATTGTTTTTTTTATTTAGTGCTCAAATTTCATACCTGAAAGATTTGCAAGTTTAGACGATATTACAAATATATTAAATATATTTTCTAATTAAGTATTAAAAAGCAGCGACTATAAAGAGAACGGGATTTTCCAAAGTGTATAATGCTAATAATTACATGTATTATTCATTTTCATTTTGGCTAAATCGCTTTACTAATCTGAGGTCATCACTGCGGAATGAACTGCTAACTTAACCAGTTTATGTTTTAGGCAGCGGATGTCCTTCCAGCTGCAACCGAATCACTGGGAAACACCCGTTCACTCTCATTTACACACATACAATTCAATTCAATTCAATTCAGCTGTATTTGTATAGCGCTTTTACAATGTAGATTGTGTCAAAGCAGCTTCACATAAATGGTCATAGTAACTGGAACAGTGTAGTTCAGTTTTTAGTGTTTAAGTTCAGTTCACATACACTACAGACAATTTAAGCCTGATTTATACTTCTGCGTCAAACACCGGCGTATGCTACGGCGCTGACGCATAGCCCTTCGCCGTGGCCATCGCCGTCACTGACGTGCACCTCTCAAAAAATGTAACTACACGTCGCAACGACGCGTAGCATAAGCTCTGTGATTGGTCGGCTTGGTAGCGCTGACGAGTCTGGGCGGGACCGAGAGGCGCGCGAATGGCGCGACGCCGCGCGAGCGATTGTTTACAAGTGTGGAGTCCCGTGAAGGAGCTCCGGATGGAAAGTTTTGTTTTGTGTTTACCTCATAGTTAAAGTTGTTGCACGTCCGCCGGTTCCTGCCTCAAAATGAGCGAGTTTGAGCCACTTGTACATCCCGGAAGTGTTCAGGAAATGCAAAAAAGTAGCGAAGAAACTTGACACAGAGGAACATTTACACCTCACTGCCAACTAGCGTTTCGGAAGTGTTAATGCAGACCGGCAGAGACAGCGCGCAGAAGTATAAATGCACAGCCACGCGCGTTGCCTGCGCCGTGGGTTACGCCGGTCACCTGACGCAGAAGTATAAATCAGGCTTTAGCCTGCCCAATTCACCTGTACCGCATGTCTTTGGACTTGTGGTGGAAACCAGAGCACCTGGAGGGAACCCACGCCAACACAGGGAGAACATGCAAACTCCACACAGAAATGCCAACTGACACAGCCGAGGCTCGAACCAGCGACCTTCTTGCTGTGAGGCGATAGCACTACCCACTGCGTTGCCCAAATCCTGAATATCACGATATTATTACATTTTTTTATTATATTAATATCAACAGCAACTCACGTACAATACTCAGCCGATTCAGTCGTTGCCTAGCAACATAAAAAGCGCACGCGCTCCTTTTTTGTCTTGTCAACACAAAAGGCAGTAAAAGCCCGTTCAGTGTGAGATATAATCAATACAATGTGCTAGATACAACACAGTTTATCAAATATGTTTAAGTTTGTGATAGTTGTATTATTAAGTAAAGTTTTCTAACTGGGAAATGACATGATCTAGCGTTAAGGTTGTCTATGGTCATCTATTCGCTGCGCTTTGATGGCTTCAGGAGGTTATTATTATGCCATTATTACTATTATGCTAAAGTTAGCATTATCCTTGATCTCTTACTGCAACTAACACACAAACCGCGGGATAGTCGACAGCAAAGTTAAACATATCACACCCGTGAACGCTAGAGAAGGCAGATATAATACACTTACTTTGAAAAGACGCACAACACCCGTAACAGAAGAATAATTATACAGCAAACGGCAAAGTTTAGCATTCATCAGCGATCCGACTCATACTCCATCCACTTCATACACTGAGCGCCGAGGCGGGATATTAGCGTGTGGCTCAGCGGAAGCTGATTGGCTGCTGTTTGTGGTTCGGCGAATGCTGATTGGCTGCTGTTTGTTGCTTAGAGAATAGTGAGGTTGTGTGGTCTGAAAGTGGCTTATAATGAATGTTTCTGGTTTAATAGTGAAGGTTTATCATGTTTAATGGTAGGTCTGTTCACTGTATGAAACATGTTTGGTGTGAATCCAGCATTATAATAAAGTCCATGCTGCTTTATAACATGATGAATGGACCTGATGCAGTTTTGTTTTGTGACTCAGATCAAAATATTCTGTTTTCCTCAGTTCTGCTTCTGGAGAATGCGACAAAGTTTTGGGGAACAGTAAAGACTCGTGTGTCTGATGATATTTGTCTTTTGTTATTAACTTTGATGTGACTAATGTGGGTTTCTTAACCCAATAAAAAAAGAATATCTCAAAGTAGCCCACATAAAATAATAATGTTGCATAGACTTATATATGTATCTATGAGAGATATATTACTGTACGTTTCTGGTAGTGATCATTCTCTCGACCATATTATATATTGTGTTACACTGTACATTTTCTATTTACAAAAATAAGTTAAAGAAAATAGCTAAATTTAATATTTTCCTGACTCAAATTTTATTAATTAATGAATCTTTTAAACATTAATAACATCAAGATTAATACATTTGCTAAAGCTTACAATGATTTTCTTCCTAATGATTTGTAGAGAAGGCTTCGTAGGCTTCTTCTTTTTCTTTCCTAATTTAATGTGTGCAGAACATTTACATGAAAAGCATTTCCTGACCTGATATTTAGTTTTTAATTGTTTAATAGGGAAAGCTGTCCACAAACTGAACATCAGAATATACATCAATTATTTTATTACTATTAGTAGTAAACAATAATAATAATTTCTCTTGAGGAAGAAACAAGGCGGGGGCTCAAATCTGAAGAAACTTAGCACAGAGTAATGTAAATGTTCAGATCACTGTGAGCCTTTGACCATCATTATTTATATTGTGGACTAAAATGAAACTGTAAATAAAGACAAACACAGAAGCTCATGTTCTGGGTCTCTTCATTCACACAGTCACACTGATGACCCACTAGAGGCCGGTCTTTGTCAAGAGTGAGAACAGCATCAATATTCATGATAAAGCCCTCACTTTCTGTGCCTCACTTGTAAATCAGTATATTGTTTACAGTGAACGAGTAAACAGGGGGATTTTCAGATACTTCTGTGGCAAAAGCTCAAACCATTATCAATAAGTCAGTAAAATCTGTGTTTATACAGTATAGTGGCTTGAAAAGGTGTTTCCCCCTTACTGACTTACTGTTTTATTTTTGCATTTTGTCATATTTTAAAGTTTCAGATCAAGAAATTTGTGTAAATATGAGTCAAAGATAACACAAGTAAACACATCATGCAGTTTAAAAAATTAAGGTTTTTATTATGAAAGCAAAACAAAATCCAAAAGTTCATAGCCCTGTGTGGAAAAGTGAAAAGTCACATTGTGCACGTCTATTATCAGACACAAAATGTTCTAAAGCGGTCTAAAAAGTTCATATCAATAAGCTTTCTCTTTGTACCACAAGGTGGCAGTCTTTGTACTTTCATTTTGGGGGTGCAGATTGCATAAGTTTTATTAAAATGTAAATATTTAAATTTATAAATGTAAATATAGTTAAAAAAATATTCACTATTTTCCTAAGTGTATATAACTACTACTGTAGGAAAATATCAGAATTCGGCACATACTTTAAGTATTTTCTTAGCTTGAACTGAGCCGATCTAATCCTGTTTATATGAAATGAGCCTGCTCCCGACCAGGTTTGAGCTACCAGAACTGTTGCTATGACAACAACTCGGATCAGTTTCGAAGAACGTAACAATCCTGGATCGTGTCAAATCGTCAATTTCTTAAATCCAGCTAACCGAGTAATCCACGTATGAAGAACGGATGCCAGAAGCAGAAGGTGGTCATGATCACATGTGATATTTAATATCTGGTAGTGTGTAGAGTGTAAAATTTAACCTTCGCAAAAGGTCCTGCATTCTCTAATGCCGAGTTCAGACTGCAGGATTTCCAAAGTAGTCGTGTCACAGATGTTTTCACACTGCATGACTATCTGGGCTGGCGTTTTGTCGCCAAAGGTTAATTTCAAGCCCTGGCACAGCCTTGCTTTTAGGGTTTCTTTCCAGTGTGAATCTTCTCATGTCTTCTCAGAGCTCCCAACTGTGTGAATCTCTTGTTGCAGTGTGAACACATGTACGGTTTCTCTCCAGTGTGAGTCCTCTCATGTGCTCTCAGGCTGCCTAACTGACTGAATCTCTTGTCGCAGTGTGAACACGTGTACGGTTTCTCTCCAGTGTGAGTCCTTTGGTGCCGTTCCAAATCGTCAGCTGTCATAAAAGTCTTCCAACACTCAAAGCAGTAATGCTCTTTCACACCAGTGTGGATCTTCTGATGTCGATTTAAATTTGTCCGCCATGTAAAACCCTTTCCACACACAGAACACGAATACGGTTTCTCCGTTGTATGAACTCTTAGATGGAGCTTCAGAAATGAACCAGTCGTGAATGTTTTACCGCATTGATCACATCTGTGTTTTCTCTCTCCAGTGTGGGTCAACATGTGTCTATTAACCCTTAAAGACCTAGAGGTATTTTGTGGGCACCTAATGGGCCTATATTATTATTTTTTTAAAAAGCAGTTTTATTTTTATTTTAGCAGTCAGCCTCAAGTGTCATATATCATTTTAAACAGGAGAACCTGAAGTTTCAATCTGTATCATTTAAAGGTCCAGTCTAAAATATTTTTTGGTCCAAAAACATATGAAAAGACAGAAAATATTCCAGAATTTTCCAGAAACGATTTTTAAAAAAAGTGGCATTTTCCAGTTATTTCAAACAAAACCTTATGAAGTTTGTTTTTCTTTCTTTAGAAATACATGCTATGATGTTTTATACTTCCAAATTAAATTTTGTCTACATCCACAATTCCCTGAGCAAGTTATAGCAATTTATTTCAATGTTATTCCAAGGCGTTTTTCTATGGGGGAAAAAAATGCATTTATTTACTGACAATGTATTTGCCCAAAAGTTCTGGGAATGAACTAAACAGAAAAAAAAAATGTTACAAAATAATAGAACAGTGAAGCAAATTTGACTTTTTCCAAATAATATATTTTCAGTTACTATAAACAACACCACTTACAATGAACAAATAAAAAAAATAAGAAAATAATAAATAATGTGTCAAAGTCCAAATAAACATGGTGCAAATCCTCAGTAAAAAAATAGATATAAATATTTACTATACCATAAATAGTTACATAACGAAACTAGATTCAATATGGAACATCCTTAGGTTTTATGTGCCAGCATGGATATGGTTGTCTGTGGATATGGATTTGGAAATGGTTGTCTGCAATGCAGACAAACAGCTGCACCTTCATTTGCGTCTTTTGAAAACAGCAAGAGCAGCAGTTCGTCTTTGCTGTGTCACTGTTTTGTCATGTTTCTGTGCTGCTGTGCATGCAAAAGTACTTAGTATGAAAATTATTTCATGCAAAACATGTTTTTTTGCGTTTTATTTAGCCGCGCATAAATGTATGCCTATCTCTCATTCCGTGTTGTTCAAAAAGCTTGTTGATCCACAAACAAAAGCGAAACCTATGCTTATTGGTTGTGATATAGCGAGTTTGAACCAATCTGGGCATGGAGGAGGGACAATGCATCAATGTATCATGTCTGGTTTGTCCGGAGACTTAGTGACGAGCGTTTCTTTGTCAAATCAGCGTTGTCAAATTTTGATGACGTAACCGCACTGATTCCGGAGCCTCTGAAAGTCCGCGAATGTTATGTGATACGGCACTGGAAAGCTGAGATTCTCTTCTTTATGCCAATCTTTGAATTGTATGAATCGGATCAGCGGATCAAAAGTTATTAAACATTTAAGAGCAATACTTATTTTTAGCCGCGGGCGGCTGTCTCGGTCTTTAAGGGTTAAGCAATGAGGAGATTGTAAAACTCTTTCCACACTGGGTACATTTGAATGGTTTCTCTCCAGTGTGGATCTTTATATGTTGATTAAGGGAAGATGATTGTGTGAATCTCTTACCACACTGGGTACATGTGAATGGTCTCTCTCCTGTGTGGGTCATCATGTGTTGATTAAGGTGTGATGATCGTGTGAAACTCTTACCACACTGGGTGCATGTGAATAGTTTCTCTCCAGTGTGGACCATCTTGTGAATCTTATGGCTGCTTTGCATCCCAATCAATCTCTTTCCACACGGAGTTAGGTGAAAAAATCTTGCCTCTTCTTTTCATTAAAGAATGATGTACTCAAGTATTTCCAGCTTTTAGTGGTTTATCATCTTCACGCAATCTCGTTCTTCTGAAATCAAAGAAAATAAAGTTGCTTTAGCAGACAGAAGACATTCAAATATGTGAAGTGGAAACATCAGATATATTTGTCAGCATATTTCTAACCACAGTTAATAAACACTAAGAAATACAAGAGAATTGAGACACAGATAACATTAGCAACTGAATAAAGGTAAAATATTTCTGAGGAAGCTGAAGACGATATGCAAGCTTATGAAATCATTTTGAATGCGTGCGGCAGTGCGCAATTTTTCTGCTCTCACGATTGCATGTCATGATCACGTGCGCTCCATGTACATTATACATTAAGCCAGGATGCACATTTGTCTTTATATTTAGTGCTCAAATTTAATACCTGAAAGATTTGCAAGTTTAGACGATATTACAAATATATTAAATATATTTTCTAATTAAGTATTAAAAAGCAGCGACTATAAAGAGAACGGGATTTTCCAAAGTGTATAATGCTAATAATTACATGTATTATTCATTTTCATTTTGGCTAAATCGCTTTACTAATCTGGGGTCATCACTGCAGAATGAACTGCTAACTTAACCAGTTTATGTTTTAGGCAGCGGTTGCCCTTCCAGCTGCAACCGAATCACTGGGAAACACCCGTACACTCTCATTTACACACATAGAATTCAATTCAATTCAATTCAATTCAGCTGTATTTGTATAGCGCTTTTACAATGTACATTGTGTCAAAGCAGCTTCACATAAATGGTCATAGTAACTGGAACAGTGTAGTTCAGTTTTTAGTGTTTAAGTTCAGTTCACATACACTACAGACAATTTAGCCTGCCCAATTCACCTGTACCGCATGTCTTTGGACTTGTAGTGGAAACCAGAGCACCTGGAGGGAACCCACGCCAACACGGGTAGAACATGCAAACTCCACACAGAAATGCCAACTGACACAGCCGAGGCTCGAACCAGCGACCTTTTTGCTGTGAGGCGACAGCACTACCCACTGCGTTGCCCCAAATCCTGAATATCACGATATTATTACATTTTTTATTATATTAATATCAACAGCAACTCACGTACAATACTCAGCTGATTCAGTCGTTGCCTAGCAACATAAAAAGCGCACTGCGCTCCATTTTTGTCTTGTCAACACATAATGCAGTAAAAGCACGTTCGGTGTGAGATATAATCAATACAATGTGCTAGATATAATACAGTTTATCAAACAGGTTTAAGTTTGTGATAGTTGTATTATAAAGTTTTCTAACTGGTAAATGACATGATCTAGCGTTATAAGGTTGTCTATGGTCATCTATTCGCTGCGCTTTGATGGCTTCAGGAGGTTATTATTATGCCATTATTACTATTATGCTAAAGTTAGCATTATCCTTGATCTCTTACTGCAACTCACACACAAACCGCGGGATAGTCGACAGCAAAGTGAAACATATCACACTCGTGAACGCTACAGAAGTCAGATATAATACACTTACTTCAAAAAGACGCACAACACCCGTAACAGAAGAATAATTATACAGCAAACGTAAAAGTTTAGCATTCATCAGCGATCCGACTCATACTCCATCCACTTCATACACTGAGCGCCGAGGCGGGATATTAACCTGTGTGTGGCTCAGCGGAAGCTGATTGGCTGCTGTTTGTGGTTCGGCGAATGCTGATTGGCTGCTGTTTGTTGCTTAGAGAATAGTGAGGTTGTGTGGTCTGAAAGTGGCTTATAATGAATGTTTCTGGTTTAATAGTGAAGGTTTATCATGTTTAATGGTAGGTCTGTTCACTGTATGAAACATGTTTGGTGTGAATCCAGCATTATAATAAAGTCCATGCTGCTTTATAACATGATAAATAGACCTGATGCAGTTTTGTTTTGTGACTCAGATCAAAATATTCTGTTTTCCTCAGTTCTGCTTCTGGAGAATGCGACAAAGTTTTGGAGAACAGTAAAGACTCGTGTGTCTGATGATATTTGTCTTTTGTTATTTTCTTTGATGGGACTAATGTGGGTTTCTTAACCCAATAAAAAAAGAATTATCTCAAAGTAGCCCACATAAAATAATAATGTTGCATAGACTTATATATGTATCTATGAGAGATATATCACTGTACGTTTCTGGTAGTGATCATTCTCTCGACCATATTATATATTGTGTTACACTGTACATTTTATATATACAAAAATAAGTTAAAGAAAATAGCTAAATGTAATATTTTCCTGACTCAAATTTTATTAATTAATGAATCTCTTTAACATTAATAACATCAAGATTAATACATTTGCTAAAGCTTACAATGATCCTCTTCTTAATGATTTGTAGAGTAGAGAAGGCTTCGTAGGCTTCTTCTTTTTCTTCTCTCCTAATTAAATGTGTGCAGAACATTTACATGAAAAGCATTTCCTGACCTGATATTTAGTTTTTAATTGTTTAATAGGGAAAGCTGTCCACAAACTGAACATCAGAATATACATCAACTATCTTATTACTATTAGTAGTAAACAATAATAATTTCTCTTAAGGAAGAAACAGGGCGGGGGCTCAAATCTGAAGCAACTTAGCACAGAGTAATTTAAATGTTCAGATCACTGTGAGCCTTTGACTGTAATTATTTATATTGTGGACTAAAATTAAACTGTAAATAAAGACAAACACAGAAGCTCATGTTCTGGGTCTCTTCATTCACACAGTCACACTGATGGCCCACTAGAGGCCGGTCTTTGTCAAGAGTGAGAACGGCATCAATATTCATGATAAAGCCCTCACTTTCTGTCTCACTTGTAAATCAATATATTGTTTACAGTGAACGAGTAAACAGGGGGATTTTCAGATACTTCTGTGGCAAAAGCTCAAAACATTATCAATAAGTCAGTAAAATCTGTGTTTATACAGTATAGTGGTTTGAAAAGGTGTTTCCCCCTTACTGACTTACTGTTTTATTTTTGCATTTTGTCATATTTTAAAGTTTCAGATCAAGAAATTTATGTAAATATGAGTCAAAGATAACACAAGTAAACACATCATGCAGATTAAAAAATTAAGGTTTTTATTATCAAAGCAAAACAAAATCCAAAACTACATAGCCCTGTGTGAAAAAGTGAAAAGTCACATTGTGCACGTCTATTATCAAACACAAAATGTTCTAAAGCGGTCTAAAAAGTTCATATCAATAAGCTTTCTCTTTGTACCACAAGGTGGCAGTCTTTGTACTTTCCTTTTGGGGGTGCAGATTGCATACGTTTTATTAAAATGTAAATATTTAAATTTATAAATGTAAATATAGTTAAAAAATATTCACTATTTTCCTAAGTGTATATAACTACTACTGTAGGAAAATATCAGAATTCGGCACATACTTTAAGTATTATCTTAGCTTGAACTGAGCCGATCTAATCCTGTTTATATGAAATGAGCCTGCTCCCGACCAGGTTTGAGCTAGCAGAACTGTTGCTATGACAACATCTCGGATCAGTTTCGAAGAACGTAACAATCCTGGATCGTGTCAAATCGTCAATTTCTTAAATCCAGCTAACCGAGTAATCCACGTATGAAGAACGGATGCCAGAAGCAGAAGGTGGTCATGATCACATGTGATATTTAATATCTGGTAGTGTGTAGAGTGTAAAATTTAACCTTCGCAAAAGGTCCTGCATTCTCTAATGCCGAGTTCAGACTGCAGGATTTCCAAAGTAGTCGTGTCACAGATGTTTTCACACTGCATGACTATCTGGGCTGGCGTTTTGTCGCCAAAGGTTAATTTCAAGCCCTGGCACAGCCTTGCTTTTAGGGTTTCTTTCCAGTGTGAATCTTCTCATGTCTTCTCAGAGCTCCCAACTGTGTGAATCTCTTGTTGCAGTGTGAACACATGTACGGTTTCTCTCCAGTGTGAGTCCTCTCATGTGCTCTCAGGCTGCCTAACTGACTGAATCTCTTGTCGCAGTGTGAACACGTGTACGGTTTCTCTCCAGTGTGAGTCCTTTGGTGCCGTTCCAAATCGTCAGCTGTCATAAAAGTCTTCCAACACTCAAAGCAGTAATGCTCTTTCACACCAGTGTGGATCTTCTGATGTCGATTTAAATTTGTCCGCCATGTAAAACCCTTTCCACACACAGAACACGAATACGGTTTCTCCGTTGTATGAACTCTTAGATGGAGCTTCAGAAATGAACCAGTCGTGAATGTTTTACCGCATTGATCACATCTGTGTTTTCTCTCTCCAGTGTGGGTCAACATGTGTCTATTAAGCAATGAGGAGATTGTAAAACTCTTTCCACACTGGGTACATTTGAATGGTTTCTCTCCAGTGTGGATCTTTATATGTTGATTAAGGGAAGATGATTGTGTGAATCTCTTACCACACTGGGTACATGTGAATGGTCTCTCTCCTGTGTGGGTCATCATGTGTTGATTAAGGTGTGATGATCGTGTGAAACTCTTACCACACTGGGTGCATGTGAATAGTTTCTCTCCAGTGCGGACCATCTTGTGAATCTTATGGCTGCTTTGCATCCAAATCAATCTCTTTCCACACGGAGTTAGGTGAAAAAATCTTGCCTCTTCTTTTCATTAAAGAATGATGTACTCAAGTATTTCCAGCTTTTAGTAGTTTATCATCGTCACGCAATCTCGTTCTTCTGAAATCAAAGAAAATAAAGTTGCTTTAGCAGACAGAAGACATTCAAATATGTGAAATGAAAACATCAGATATATTTGTCAGCATATTTCTAACCACAGTTAATAAACACTAGAAAAACAAGAGAATTGAGACACAGATAACATTAGCAACTGAATAAAGGTAAAATATTTATGAGGAAGCTGAAGACGATATGCAAGCTTATGAAATCATTTTGAATGTGTGCGGCAGTGCGCACTTTTCCTGCTCTCACAATTGCATGTCATGATCACGTGCGCTCCATGTACATTATACATTAAGCCAGGATGCACATTTGTCTTTATATTTAGTGCTCAAATTTAATACCTGAAAGATTTGCAAGTTTAGACGATATTACAAATATATTAAATATATTTTCTAATTAAGTATTAAAAAGCAGCGACTATAAAGACAACGGGATTTTCCAAAGTGTATAATGCCAATAATTACATGTATTATTCATTTTCATTTTGGCTAAATCGCTTTACTAATCTGGGGTCATCACTGCAGAATGAACTGCTAACTTAACCAGTATATGTTTTAGGCAGCGGTTGCCCTTCCAGCTGCAACCGAATCACTGGGAAACACCCGTACACTCTCATTTACACACATAGAATTCAATTCAATTCAATTCAGCTGTATTTGTATAGCGCTTTTACAATGTAGATTGTGTCAAAGCAGCTTCACATAAATGGTCATAGTAACTGGAACAGTGTAGTTCAGTTTTTACTGTTTAAGTTCAGTTCACATACACTACAGACAATTTAGCCTGCCCAATTCACCTGTACCGCATGTCTTTGGACTTGTAGTGGAAACCAGAGCACCTGGAGGGAACCCACGCCAACACGGGTAGAACATGCAAACTCCACACAGAAATGCCAACTGACACAGCCGAGGCTCGAACCAGCGACCTTTTTGCTGTGAGGTGACAGCACTACCCACTGCGTTGCCCCAAATCCTGAATATCACGATATTATACAATTTTTTAAATTACATTAATATCAACAACAACTCACGTACAATACTCAGCTGATTCAGTTGTTGCCTAGCAACATAAAAAGCGCACTGCGCTCCATTTTTGTCTTGTCAACACAAAAGGCAGTAAAAGCACGTTCGGTGTGAGATATAATCAATACAATGTGCTAGATATAATACAGTTTATTAAACAGGTTTAAGTTTGGGATAGTTGTATTATAAAGTTTTCTAACTGGGAAATGACATGATCTAGTGTTATAAGGTTGTCTATGGTCATCTATTCGCTGCGCTTTGATGGCTTCAGGAGGTTATTATTATGCCATTATTACTATTATGCTAAAGTTAGCATTATCCTTGATCTCTTACTGCAACTAACACACAAACCGCGGGATAGTCGACAGCAAAGTTAAACATATCACACCCGTGAACGCTACAGAAGTCAGATATAATACACTTACTTTGAAAAGACGCACAACACCCGTAACAGAAGAATAATTATACAGCAAACGGCAAAGTTTAGCATTCATCAGCGATCCGACTCATACTCCATCCACTTCATACACTGAGCGCCGAGGCGGGATATTAGCCTGTGTGTGGCTCAGCGAATGCTGATTGGCTGCTGTGTGTTGCCCGGCGAATGCTGATTGGTTGCTGTGTGTGGGTCAGTGAATGCTGAATGGCTGTTGTTTGTTGCTCAGCGAATGCTGATTTACTGCCTGTGTGTGGCATAGCGAATGCTTATTGCCTCAATCAGTCTCGGCTAAAAAGAAAGGTTGTGTGGTCTGAAAGTGGCTTTGTGGTTCCATATAGGAAACTGCATTGCTTCTTCCAGACCCTTTCAACTTAAAGATATTATTTGTTAATAAAGGTAAAACTGATATATCAGAGAACTACATCATCATCATTAACTTTTTTATTTTGTATGGAAAATATTTTATTCACAAACAAAAAAAATTCCAGTTTGTAGCCTTCTTTTTCACATTTTTTAATTGATGTTTTTATTAAATCTTTTAGACTAGTTAATAACAAGAAAAGTGACAGATTCTTGGATTTTGTTGGTAAATATTTTGGAAATATCACGGATACATAAGTCCTTCTTTCCTCTTGCTGTATTTGTTTTGTATGTTTGTCTGTTTACATTTTTTCCTTTCTTTTGTTTCTCTTTTTATTTTTTTACATTAGTTATCCTGATCTGTTATTATCATTGTGTTTTGTGTAAAACTGGATTTTGTATGTTTGTTATTGAAGTCAATAAAAAAGTGGCTGTGTGGCTTCCCTGCTGAAAAATCCAGCCTAAATCAGCCTAGGCTGGTTGGCTGGTTTTAGCTGGTCAACAAGGCTGGTTTTAGATGGGTTTTGGCCACTTCCAGGCTGGTTTCCAGCCATTTCCAGCCTGGTCTTAGCTGGTCAGGCTGGGAGATGACCAGCTAAAACCAGCTTGACCAGCCTAGCCAAGCTGGGAGTCCAGCCAAAACCAGCTATATCCAGCTTAAACCAGGCTACACTGTTAGACATTTCTGTAAATTACACAGTTATTTACTGTATTTCACCCAGTGTAATACTGCAAATTCGTTTTACGGTAAATAACTGTATTTACCGTTGCATTATGGGAATTTAGTGTGACGTCGAACAACATATACAGCGATGTACTGTATTTGTAAAAATTCGTGTATTATACTGTATTTTCCACAACTGCTTCAACGCCACCTTGCGGCGATTCGACTACTCTGCACCACATTTTGCCTGAGGACCCTGGAGCAATTCTGGAGGACAATTTATTAGTGTGCCTGAAGAACATACTGGATTTAACAAACTTTACTCTGGTAAGCTGAGGCAGTGTTTCATTTTACAGAATGTTTTGTGGACGAGAATAGAACAAAGTAAAGTATAAAGTTGGCTATTATTATTTTCTCTGGCTTGGCGTTATTTCGCCCATTTGAGAAATATATCATGTATTAAGATGTTACCTTTATTTAATTTATTACATTAACACTACTATTACTTTAAATAAGACTGTTTATGACTATTAGCCATTGTTCTCGTCATATCTTTTTATTTATTTACATAGGAACCGGTGTTGCAGCGGGTTTTGGTTTAGGAGGGAACCAGAGGTATGCAGACAGTTTTGGAGGACACTTAGCACGAGACAACGGTCCGGCAGAGAGTGTTTTCCCCCAGAAGAATATGAATGAAAGACCAACAAATAATCCAGGTAAAAGCGCGTCTGTCTGTGCTGACAACACTCGACATTGATTTGAGCACCTCTATTAGCATTTGTTTGCTCGGCAACATTGGCTGAAGCGATCTTAAAATGGTAATGTTAACTGTTAGCTAAACTGAGCTAAGTTTATACTGAATTGAACTCAAACTCATTTTAACGTGCAACGTTTAACTTATATTGATTTATACTATATATATTAGATGTTGTGAACTTATTTTTCTCTGGTTTAGAGTAACTTATAACGTTAGCTTGAGAAAATAACATCGCGACGTAACCTATAAGAACGTAAATCTATACAATATGCATAGAGGTAAAGTTGGTTTTATATTCGCACATTCGTTCATTTAGAAGACTCTATACTTTTTACCATGTTACTTTGAATATTCGATCAGAATTAGCATGCCAGTATGACTTGAAATCAACATTAACACTGTTTATTTGACCGTGAGCATGTTGTACTTTGATAGTCATTGGCTGCTAATATGATTTCGCTATTTAGAGTTTGCAAATAATACTTTTATGAAATTAAATTATTAAGGGGGAAGTCTGAATCTGCTAATATAAAACCAATTTTACCTCTATGCATTATGCTAATAACCACCTTTTTGCTATTTATTGTTTGCTAATAATTTTTTTATCACAACTCTTGACATTTGGTTTAACATAATTGTTACCATTATATTTTTTTCTGTTTAGATATGGCACGAGCACAGCAGCAGGTTTTGTCTGAAGAAACAAACAGCATTTCAGAGGAACATCTTGATCAGCACAGCCTTATGCTTAAAAAATAAGCAAGACCAGTAAGCAACCAAGGTAAACAAATAAAAAAAAGTTGTGTGGAGGTTGTGGATTGTAGCATGGTATTCTTATCTGTATTTTTGGCTTTTTTATGGTCTCAATATAGAATACTGGGAGCCTGCCTGTGCAAACTGGACCTCATACAACAGTAAGTACTGTACATCTATTTGTTTCTCAATATAGTAACGTTACTTTTAATACAAAATGTGTCACATGTTTAGTTGCTAGCTAAATAAAAAAATCGTTTTCCCTTTTTTATTAAACCATTTAGTAGGTTTTTTTTTCATCTTTGTTTATAATATTTTTGAGCAGATTGAGGTCTGTCATGGGTCAGACATTTCAAAATACAATAATTAGTATTGGGATACATGCATTTGTCTATGTATTAAATGTCTTTTTCCCCATTTCATGTTGCCTAAATATTTTGTAATAAATAAAATAATACAATTTTTTGTATAAATAATTCCAGAGGATGAAACAAAATGCACAGCAACAACCAGAGTGAGCCAGAAGATAGCAGGAGAAGTACTGAAGAGAATGACAACAATGAACAACAGTGAGTTATCCTTCTTTCACCAGCTAACTGAGAACTTGGATTAGGTGAGACACTCTCAATAGTTTTATCAGTATTCAGTCAGTTTTAGTTTATTAGGAATACATAAAACAAATAGTCTAATCTGTCCTGCAGTGAATCAACCCATCACAAATGCTACAATGTTTTTGTAAAACCTTGTTAGGGAAAAAAATAAACAGGACATTCTGGTTAGTTCTCTTTTAAACATGGTAGTGAGCAGGTTATGAGCAGGAGCCAGTTGCTCAGTACCAGCTGAAAACTACCCCAACCTAGCTGCCATGCTTCAAAATAATTAACCAGTATATGATTTATTTTTTTTAAACAAGCTTCTTCTATGCTTATGTTAGTCTGTTTGTCCTTATCCAGAGTTCTTCATAATCCTGGACTGGGCCAAATCCTGACCAGATGCTGTGGTGGTCATGGAGGAGTGAATCCTAAAAGACACACGTGATCAATGAGTTTCCGCATTGATCCAATGGGCCAGCCTGACCACCCGCTGGTGAACTTTCAAGTCTCTGGTGCCTAGACTGCGGCCTTGCACAAGTTTGGCTAGAGGAAAACTGGTCGTGCCCAACTGAGCCTGGTATCTCTCAAGGGATTTTATTCTACACTTTCGTCAGTTGGTGAAGTTTGTTCCATGCCACTGTCGCCACTGGATCACTTGGCTACGATTGGTGGATCGGTGGATTTGCTCTTCAGTGTTTGGACTTTCAGCAGTGACATTTACTGCTTCAATTCTGAAAACTGGACTGAAGCAGCTTCAATTTACAAGAACTTCTATGTTAAGCTGCTTTGACATCATTGATCTACATTGTAAAAGTGCAATAGAAATAAAGATTAATTGCATTTGAACATGTGAATTCAGACCTTGTTGAGCATTTGACACCAGAACTAGTAATATTTTAAAGTTGGGTTGTTTCTGAGTCGGCTAATAGTTACAAATATTTATTTTTCCAACAATATGCAATTCAGAAGTTTAAATTTTTATTGTACATGCATGTTCTAGTGCTTTGTGTGATTTATTTATTTTTAATGTGTTGATTTTATTGCTTAATGTAATTTTCACACATTTTCCTTAAATGCTTTAAGCATTATTAATGTTTTAAAGAATGGAATATTTTGTAATTGTGTCTGGTTTAATGTCAGTAGTACTTAGTACAATTGGGTTTTTTTTTCTCAACAATATGCAGGTCAGACACTTAAATTAGTTTTGTACATGTATGTTAATGTGCTTTGTCATTTTCAATGTTTTTTTTTCTTAAAATAAAATATTTTGAATGATTGAAATGTAATGTTTTTACACATTTTTAAGCTTGTTTTAAGCATCTCCAATGTTTTAAATAAAGAGTGTTTATTTTGTTAATATTTTGTAATTGTGTCTTTTTTAGGTCTATAGTATTAAAATAATATTAATAAAATTATATTATAAAATATTTAGGACAAAATTAAAAGGTTTACAGTAGCTAACTGTTAACTTAGGTTTTTACAGTAGTTAACCATTTTCAGACACTACAGTAACATGCTGTAAACGGATTTACAGTTGTATACTGTAAATCTAAAATACAGTAACTTACTGGCAACAGTGTTGCCAGTAAGTTACTGTAAAAACCCTTTAAAATGTCTAACAGTGTAGTCAAGCTGGTTTTAGCTGGATTTGGCTGGTTATTTCCTGACCTGATATTTAGTTTTTGGTTGTTCGATAGGGAAAGCTGTCTTCAAACTGAACATGCAAATACACATCAATTATTTTATTGCTATTAGTAGTAAACCATAATACTTCATTAATGATTAGCACTACTACTTAATGGAACAAAAAACTTCATTCATTCATTCATTTTCTTGTCGGCTTAGTCCCTTTATTAATCCGGGTTCGCCACAGCGGAATGAACCACCAACTCATCCAGCAAGTTTTTACACAGCTGATGCCCTTCCAGCCGCAACCCATCTCTGGGAAACATCCGCACACACACACACTCATTCAATTTAGCCTACCCAATTCACCTGTACTGCATGTCTTTGGATCGTGGGGAAAACCGGAGCACCCACGCGAAGGCAGGGAGAACATGCAAACTCCACACAGAAACGCCAACTGAGCCGAGGATCGAACCGGCGACCCTGCGACCTTCTTGCTGTGAGGCGACAGCACTACCTACTGTGCCTGGAAAGTTACTTGTATCTAAAAAATAAGCACCATACGGCAGTGGTTCTCAAACTGTGGTACGTGTATCACTGGTACGCAGGCTACTAGTGGTCTGCGGATGAATCAAATATGTCATATGTACATGCTACATATATTTAAATAAACTATAAAAAATGATTTATATATGAATATGATGACACAAAGTCTATATGAGGTCCAGGAAACATTTCCAGGTGCTGATAAAACTGGATTTTGTTTCGTTTTTTTACCTTTTAAGAACTGTGACGTACCATTTTTAAGTTTTAAAAGCACATTTTAATTTAAATGTTCTTATAATAGGAACTAATATGCCTCATTTTTGAACTAAACAGAGTTTTAGCTGCTTTACTGGACCAAATACTATATTTCAATACAGCTCATTATCAGTGGCGCAAAAAGGGGGTATGCAGTATATGCGGCGCATAGGGGCGCCACACATGGGGGGGCGCCATTGTACCAAAACTATTTTTGAAATTATCCTTACTAAAAGTTTCAAATAAAATAAATAAATATGTTTTGTTAAAAATGTTTTTTTTTTGCATTTTGTATGAGTATAATATTGTATTTTAATAAATAAAAAATTATACCATGAGTTGCATACGTTGGCACACACATTTTAATTCAAAATCAACACAATAACATGCAGTCGCAGAGCCAAGTGTAAAGTGTTCATGTAAATGTAACTTTAGATTTTTTTTTACAATTTTTATCAAAATAAAACTGTCAAATCATACATACAGTACAGTTGAGGTCAAAAGTTATAAGATTAATCTGAATTTTTTCTTTCTTTATTATTATTTATTATTAATTATTTAATTATTTTGCCTAAATAAGAGGCATCACACAAAATGTATGTTTATGTAAGTACAGACCTATTTCACATAAACCGATATTTCAGATAAAATATTTGGATTAAAAATTGACCTATATAAATATTATATACTTGATTATAATGATTCTTAACCCTGTTAAAGTTGACACATGAACAAATTGTCCGAATATTCAAATTTTTTGGAACTGAAATGTTTTTAATCCTTCTATCAAGATCCATTTTATACAATATACATGTTTTTATAAATTTATTATGTGTCATATTGATACATCAGGCCTTTTGGTAACTTTTTTTTGTTCAAAACTATTTTATTTTAGTTACAAAACTTGAAACCCGCATACCTCTCAGTATATGTGTAGTTGTGCCCCTGCTCATTATGATGGAACTTGCAAAGACAACCTTTTTCCTGAGGTGGTACTTGATGAAAAGTCTTTGAGAGCCACTGCCATACGGGCTATTGATTAAATGTCAAAACGTCTTGCCATACACATAGGCTAATACATGACTTTCAATAATTTAAAACTTTTCAAAACTAGAGCTTTAATAGCAATTCAACTAACGTAAAAGATAAATTAATGAATGATATATGAATGAGTAATCAAATCTAAACGTCACAAAATGGACACCTTCAATTCGGTTTATCGATAAAACAAAGACGAAAAACTACAAACTAGTTTGTTTTCAAATGGAGGAGTTGTCTGAAACGCGTTCGTTTGGGAAAATGTGCTTATTTTTGAAAAACTCTGGATGTCCGCATGAGAAAACGCGAGCGATTTGCAAAACAAAACTGAAAGGCGCGCGCAGGATTTTCCCGTCAGCTATCGCGCTGCGTGTCGTCATCGGCGCGCGACTCCGGGAGTTGTGTGAAAGTTGTGTGAATGTTGTGATTGTGCGTGCTTTGTGTGCGTGTAGTTATGAGTGTCGTTCATCGAGCATTAAAGACACACTTCGGCTTCGAGAAGTTTCGCTCTCGGCAGCAGGAGGAGGCCGTGAACGCGCTGCTGCAGGGTGACGAGCACTTATATGGGCTTAGAGAAGGAGAAGAGGGATAGAGCGATGTGTGTGTGTGTGTGTGTGTGTGTTGGGTGACAAGGATGTGTGTGTATTAAGTGTTTTAGGTGACAATGATGTGTTTGTGTGTGTTTGATGTTTGTATTTTCAGGTGACAGGGATATGTTTGTGTTGTGTTTCAGGTGACAGGTGTTTGTGTGTGTGTGTGTGTGTGTGTGTGTGTGTGTGTGTGTGTGTGTATTTTCAGGTGTCGGGTGTGTGTGTGTGTGTGTGTGTGTGTGTGTGTGTGTGTGTGTGTGTGTGTGTATTTTCAGGTGACAGGGATGTGTTTGTTGTGTTTGTGTATTTTAGGTGATGTGTGTGTGTTTCAGGTGATAGGGGTGTGTGTGTGTGTGTGTGTGTGTGTGTGTGTGTGTGTGTGTGTGTGTATGTGTGTGTTTTAGGTAACAGAGATGTGTGTATATTCAGGTGACTGGTATGTGTGTGTGTGTGTGTGTGTGTTTTTTCAGGTAACAGTGATGTGTGTATTTTCAGGTGACGTGTGTGTGTGTGTATGTGTGTGTGTTTTAGGTAACAGGGATGTGTGTGTGTGTGTTTTAGGTAAAAGTGATGTGTGTATATTCAGGTGACAGGGATGTGTTTGTGTGTATTTTAAGGTGACAGGGATGTGTGTGTGTGTGTTTGTGTGTATTTTCAGGTGACAGGGATGTGTGTGTGTGTGTGTGTGTGTGTGTTTGTGTGTATTTTCAGGTGACAGGGATGTGTGTGTTTGTGTTTGTGTGTATTTTCAGGTGACAGGGATGTGTGTGTGTGTGTGTGTGTTTGTGTGTATTTTCAGGTGACAGGGATGTGTGTGTGTGTGTTTGTGTGTATTTTCAGGTGACAGGGATGTGTGTGTGTGTGTTTGTGTGTATTTTCAGGTGACAGGGATGTGTTTGTGTGTATGCCCACTGGAGCTGGCAAGTCTCTGTGTTATCAGCTGCCGGCTCTTATGGCCAGTGGAGTCACTCTGGTCATTTCTCCTCTGATCGCCCTCATTCAGGTACCCCCCCCCCATCTCCCAAACACATGCTAATATACACTATATTGGCAAAATTTTTGTGACACCTGCCTTCACATAAACTTTAATGAGATTAATGAGGTCAGGTACTGATGTTAAGAAAGCCCCGCCTCTCAGATTCTGCTCTAGTTCATCACAGTGTTCAGTTGGGTTGAGATCAGGACTCTGTGCAGGCCAGATGATCAAGGTTCACCCTTACTGAAAAGTTTTCATGCACATATTAAGCAGATAAGCAGTATATTAATCTGTCAGCAGCTTTAGCAATGCTTATAGCTAGCTCTTGAACATCCTCAATGCTCTTTGTGCTCCAGGATCAAGTGGAGCACCTGAAAGCTCTGAATGTTCCAGCGCGCTCCATCAACTCCAAACTGCCCCTGGCCGAGCGCCGCCAGATTCTGGCCGATCTGGAGAGCGAAACTCCTCGGCTCAAGCTGCTCTACATCACCCCAGAGATGGTGGCGTCTCCATCCTTCCAGCCCGTCCTGAGCTCGCTGTCTTCGCGGGGTCTGCTGGGGTACCTGGCTGTAGATGAAGCTCACTGTGTCTCTCAATGGGGTCATGATTTCAGACCCGACTACCTGAAGCTGGGAGACCTGCGCTCTCGTCTTCAGGGCATCCGCTGTATCGCCCTCACAGCCACGGCCCCCAAAAGAGTGAAGGAGGACATCGAACGCTCGCTCAGACTGCGCTCTCCGCTAGTCTTTTCCACACCGGTGTTCCGGAAAAACTTGAAGTATGATGTGATATTCCGTGATTTGTTGCCTGAACCCTACGTACACCTGCTGGCGTTTGCTAAAGAGGCTCTGGGTGGAAATACTGCTGAAAAGGTCAGAGACGGGCTATATTTTGTTTACTGAATTATGACTTTGTTTAATATTTTACTTTAATGCTGTGTTCACACCCGACGCGGTATGCATGGATAAATCGAGCTATTCGCGTGTAAATTGAGGCGTGACCGTTTTGAGTTCACACGTTTCATTCGCGTGTCAAATTCACTTCACAATAGACGCGGAGTTGCGGCATGGTCAGGGCTTCTGTCTGCCCAGTGACTCTAGATTTATTGCTAACATGGATTTTATTGGGAGAGTAGCTGTGCTTTATGAAGGCTGAAAAATAGTGTTGATTGGTTTGAAGCCGTGTCTGAATCCACTAGATCCATTCAGAGGTGCAGCCAGCACTATGAGATCATAAACTCCCGCAGAAACTAGACCTGGATGATGGAAGCTTTCAGTGGTGCCGGGACACCAACAACAGCTGCTATGTCATAATCACGCCCCTACAAGACAAAGCTCATGATTGGTTAACACGGCGCGAATGTCCGCTGAAGTTTAGATTTTTTTTCAATTCAAGCGATTTGCGCGATACGCATGATGCGCTCGTGTCATTAGCCTCTTTCTCACCTCCTCTTTGCACTGCCTCCTTCGCACCGCCTCTTTCGCATCGCCTCTTTTAGCACTGCCTCTTTCACACCTCCTCTTTCGCACCTCCTCTTTCGCACCTCTTCTCTCGCACCTCCTCTTTCACACCTCCTCTTTCGCACCGCCTCTTTCGCACCTCCTCTTTCGCACCTCCTCTTTCGCACCTTCTCTTTCGCACCTCCTCTCTCGCACCTCCTCTTTCACACCGCCTCTTTCGCACCGCCTCTTTCGCACCTCCTCTTTCGCACCTCCTCTCTTGCACCTCCTCTTTCACACCTCCTCTTTCGCACCGCCTCTTTCGCACCGCCTCTTTCGCACCGCCTCTTTCGCACCGCCTCTTTCGCACCTCCTCTTTCGCACCTCCTCTCTTGCACCTCCTCTTTCACACCTCCTCTTTCGCGCCGCCTCTTTCGCACCGCCTCTTTCGCACCGCCTCTTTCGCACCGCCTCTTTCGCACCTCCTCTCTCGCACCTCCTCTTTCGCACCGCCTCTTTCGCACCTCCTCTTTCGCACCTCCTCTTTCACACCGCCTCTTTCGCACCGCCTCTTTCGCACCTTCTCTTTCGCACCTCCTCTTTTGCACCGCCTCTTTCGAACCTTCTCTTTCGCACCTCCTCTTTCGCACCTCCTCTTTCGCACCTCCTCTTTCGCACCTCCTCTTTCGCACCGCCTCTTTCGCACCGCCTCTTTCGCACCTCCTTTTTCGCACCTCCTCTCTCGCACCGCCTCTTTCGCACCGCCTCTTTCGCACCTCCTCTTTCGCACCGCCTCTTTCGAACCTCCTCTTTCGCACCGCCTCTTTCGAACCTCCTCTTTCTAACCTCCTCTTTCGCACCGCCTCTTTCGCACCGCCTCTTTTAGCACCGCCTTTTCCGCACCTTCTCTTTCTCACCTCCTCTTTCGCATTTCCTCTTTCGCACCTCCTCTTCCTCACCACTTCTTTTGCAACTCCTCTTTCACATTTCCTCTATTGCACCTCCTCTTTCTCACCTCCTCTTTCGCATTTCCTCTTTCGCATTTCCACTTTCTCACCACCTCTTTCGCACCTCGTCTTTCACATCTCTTTTGCACCTCCTCTTTCGCACCTTCTCTTTCAGACCTTCTTTTTCACACCTCCTCTTTCGCACCTCCTCTTTTGCACCTCCTCTTTCGCACCTTCTCTTTCAGACCTTCTCTTTCGCACCTCCTCTTTCGCACCTCCTCTTTTGCACCTCCTCTTTCGCACCTCCTTTTTTGCTCCTCCTCTTTTGCACCGCCTCTTTCGCACCTCCTCTTTCGCAGCTTCTCTTTCTCACCTCCTCTTTCACACCGCGTCTTTCACACCTCTTTCGCACCTCCTCTTTCACACCTCCTCTTTCTCACCTTCTCTTTCTCACCTCCTCTTTCGCACCTCCTCTTTCGCACCGCCTCTTTCGCACTACCTCATTCACCGATACCGCACCACAGGATGTCTATTTGTGTTTTTGCATTGACTTAACATGTAAATCACTTGCGATTAATGCTTCATCCACATCTGGTGTGAACGCAACATCAGAAAACCAAATGTACCAGTCTACTAATTAAATTATGCCGTATGCAAGTTTTGACTCTTCTTAAACCTAAAAATACCATAATCTGTCTGAAGATATTAAAGAAATATTTAAGATATTTCAAGTAGTCTTTTAAAACATGCTAGTTGATGCTAGCATGATTAAATGACATTAGCGGTGTTTAAAATGTTACAAACATGCTGGCATTGTGCTAATGATGATAGAGACATACTAACATGTTAGTTAATTCATGTC